TGCATAGACGTTGCATAGACTGACCGTGCAGGGAGTGTGCATAGAGTGTTCATTGTGCAGGGACGTTGCATAGACGTTGCATAGACGGTTCTTTTGTTGTTGCACGGACGTTGCATAGAAGTTGCATAGACTGTCCGGAGGTAAACGACCAAGTTGCCGACGATATTATGATATTAGGATAAATTGATAGTGCAAAATGTATTCTAAAATTTAATATACAATACAAAGTAAACTTTGTTAACCAAAAAACACTGCACAGATAAATATCTTAAACTAAATGTTATTCACAAAACAAAATAACAGCTTGTAATATGAACAATGAACATGATTAAGTCTACAGGCTTACCTAAAATTTCCCAGGCTTGTTTCAGTTCTGTCACCAACTCACGGAGACCGTCCTGTTGAAGAACTTTTCTCCTCGTAGCAGGTCCCACTGGCTGAACGTTGTTCTGTTCCCCTGCTCACATTCACAGTCCTCTGTGCTGTTGTTTTCTTCCTCTCCATCTTCCTCCTTTGGTTCAGGGGTGCAGCCTACATCAATCTCTGTTACATTTCCTGATTTCTCCTCAAGAAGCATGTCTTCCCATTTCAGATACCTACTTCGTCCGTATTTCTCTTCTACTTCGGAACAGAGACCACCGTCCGCCATTTCTTTCACTTCAGCAGCACTCAGTTCTTTATCAAACAGATTCACCTTGAACAGTTCCCCACCAAATGGAAAATTAAAGTCTCCTCCGTATGAGTGAAACTCATTGCCTAGCACAACATACCCGTCTAGACCGACCTTTCTACCAGAGGGGGTTGTGGCTGATCCTAGAAGTAACCCATCATAGTACACACTAGCTGCTCTAGTAGTGAGACTCCACGTATAGCAGACATGTCTCCATGTTCCTAGCTGGTCAGTTACCTTGCTACTCATATCTACATTGTGCCTAACGTTCGGAATAATCCGGTATCTGCTGAGTGGATCTCATCGACATCACTAGATGTTCCGTAAGCAAACCAGTACTTGCTATTACCAGACAGTATCTTCTTCACCCATCCGCACAGCGAGTAGGATTCTTGCACCGGTTCCATTCGTGGCTTGAAGAGAACGTAGTCCTGGTTTGTTGCTCCGAACTTTAATCCCCTGTAGCGTCTTTCTACCAGTCTTTGTCCGGGCTCGTCGACAGATGACTCCGCAGTGAGGAGTACTCCGAGTATAGAGAGAAGAGTTGAGAAGCACAACATGGTTAACAACTGTTCGAATGTGAGATCTCCTCCCGAATACTCGGCTTTATAAATACAATATCACCTGATTGTTGTGTGACGGTAGTTATCGAGTTTTGAAGGTTAAGGACACCTCAGCTGTTACCTTTGCACTCTTTTGACTAGCCACTCCTACCCCTTTGATCTTTATGACGCTGTTACCCTTAACTCTGAAGTGGTATATTTATTATCTCCCAGGTGCAGTCTGAATCGCTCAACTATGGCAAAATCATTGTGTTTTACAGCCCTCAATAATTAAATATAAGGGCTGTAAAACACAATGATTAAGCTTAATTAACTCTAACTTTAATGTCTGTTATATTCTATTAATAAGTTGGCTGAACGTTTAGTCGCTTTGATCCTTTTTTATCACTTAAAATCACGAATAAACAAGAATTTCGCCGCGGTTAAACCACGCTCGATCAATTTTCCCTACAATGTACATGTATTTTGTGCCATTAATTCTTTCGAGTGAAAAGTGTGACTGGAAAAAAAGTGCAACATATTTATATACTATGTTTTTAATAAATGAGTTGGATTCGCGCATGGTAAAAATTGACGATTTATTTGACCAATGTAGCGCCGCGCGCATTAACAATAAATGAATCCAGAAAATTGCGGAAAATAACTTTGCGAAGGAGGAACATCACTGTAATTAATTTACTCATGGCTAGCGTCGCGCGCAGCATAACAGACGCTTCCAATACACATAATTATAGTGGAGTGGTCTGTATTGCAAAGGAGCAGACTTTTGTCATCAACGTAGGACCGTCGGGCCACCTCATATATCCAAACCCGATTACTTATTCCCTACGATCTTTTTGCCTTCGGCAAGAGTAGGAAAAAAAACTGTCTGTATTATAGAAATTCGTATCGAAATAAACAGTAAGTTACAATGACATAATTTTGTATTACACAACACACAATGAGTAAAAAATAGCCAACTTGTAATTTATAGTTTTGTTTTGAAACCCCACGGTGGAGGTTGGCGTGTGCCGCAATTTATTAATCAATGGTTATTACATAAATGAAATTATAGAAGTCACACTAAAATATAATAATGTAAAATAAAATATATTAAAATAAATGCCCTACTAAAAGTACTATATAACTAACGGTCTGCAAAACTGGTTGAAGTCGCAATTTGTAAACATGCTAATTACTATTTAATAATAATAGATAAAAAGTTTTGCGCGGCAGATGTAAATTCGGCATTGCATAATGGCAGTGAAATTAAAATGATATGTTGTTGATAAAAGATCATGGTCATTTGTCGCGAGTGATCTTTCTTTACGCGTTGTCGCTTACTAACTCGGTGTTGTAGTCTATCTGCGAGCGCCCTTCTCTTTGAGACTTTCTTAGCCCAGGTATACTATAAAGTAAGAAATTTGGCCAATTTTCATCGTCTCCTGAGCTTTGCAGCTTGAGGAGTTCGCGCTTAGCTGAATTTTTAAAGATTTCAATTGAAAAGGTAGAACTTGGAATAGTTATATCCTTACTTTGTTTTGTAATAGAGAGCATGGGTCCTTTGAAGAAAAGAGTATTTCTAAATGTTGGGCCGTTGTAAGTTGTGAACCAAGAAAGGTTATGTTCGTATGTGGAATTATAGGTGGGAATATCGTGAGGGAAAAGTTCTTTGATGGATTTAGGGAGAAGGCTTGGCATGTTCCTTACTTTGTGTAGTAGAATAAGAGCGTTTTTTACAATGACGCTATGGACTGTTAGGATATTATGCAATCTAAACGCACTTTTTGTGTGCTCCGGGGGATTGCCGTCTTTATATCTATAATTTACATATCCTGACACAACAGCTCTAATTCCCTGCTTTTGCTTGGTGAACAGAGATTCAATGTGACATTTTGAGGCAAATCCCCACACTAAAGAACAGAAATTTAGATGGGATTGGATAAGGCTTTGGAAAATGTTTAGGCGGGCTTTGATAGGTAGAAGGTGCTTTAGCTTATACATAACTCCGAGGTAGCGACCCATCTTTATTCTAACTGCCGTAATGTGTTTTTGCCAAGTGAGCTTTTCGTCTAGGATCACTCCTAAAAATATTGCTTCAGTCTTACGTTCGATTACAGTGTTGTCAATGGACAAATTAAAGCCGCTGAAGTCGATTCTTTTTCTAGTGAAAATCATGTAACACGTCTTTTTTACATTTAAAGATAGCCCATTAGCACCTGCCCAATCTACAAGACGTGAAATTAGCTGATTAGCTTTTAATTGTATTTCTTCTAGGGTGGTTCCACTAATTAATATGTTTGCGTCGTCGGCATAAAGGATGAACTTTGCAAAATCACTAATTCCAGGTAGGTCGTTTATATAAATTACAAATAAGAGAGGTCCTAAAATGCTACCCTGAGGTACGCCGTAAACTATGGGCATGCTAGAAGAGCAAGTTCCGTTTAAAGTTACGTATTGAGATCGATTACAAAGGTAAGATCTAAACCATTCGTGCGCGACTCCCCTGATCCCACAATGGTCAAGCTTCTTAAGTAAGGTCTCATGATCAAGCACGTCAAAGGCTTTACTGTAATCGAGCAGGAGCAGTAGGGAAATTTGTTTCTTATTCAGAGAGTGTAGTATAGAATTTTGGGCATTGAGCAGTGCATGTTCGCACGATCTTCCTGGCCGAAATCCGTATTGATTTTCGAAAAGAGAATCGTTCTTATCTAAAAATTCTAAAACACGAGCATGCATAAGTTTCTCATAAATTTTCGAGAATGATCCCAAAAGAGAGATCGGCCTATAATTAGCTACTTCCAATTTTGAACCACCTTTGTGGATAGGAACGACTTTCGCAGTTTTTAGAGCATTTGGGAAGGTACCACTGGAGAACGAACAGTTAATGACATTAGCTAGTGCCCTGGTAAAGTTTTCGCAGCTGTTTGCAATTTTCAATGGCTCAATTTTACAATCGAGTGTGGACTTGTTCTTAAGCCCTGATATTATCTTTTGGACTTCACCGAGTGATGTAGGCTTAAGAAACATCGAGTTACTACACGAAGCCTTAAGAAAATGCTTGAAACCACCTGGGTCAAAGGTTCGACGGGCAGCGATTTGCCTCTTGATACTGGCTGCAATACCGGAGAAGTAGCCGTTAAATTTCTCAGCGACTGCCAGATCGGAGCTTATAATCGTGCCATCGTCGTCCTTCAGACGGGATAACTCTATCCTTATTACTTTACATAGTCGTACTTTAATAAACTGTGTTAATTTAGAGTTAGTGCTGCTACACGGACAAGGTCCGGGAAGAGGACTAGATCTTCTAATTAGGATAATCGGGGGATAATTACCAGTTCCCAGGGAGTGATGCGTCATTAGTAAACAAATGGTAAAATTATTATTATAAAATTTAATTATGTACAATATGGTAGTTATGAAGATGTAAGATAACTTGTAATATTATACCGCTGAGAAGTGTTTATATCAGGATCTTAGCTTATTTACTATAAGTACACAGTCTTACTATAACGTTAAACTAATCTATATCATAGTATAAGTACAGATAAGATGGTTTATTGTATCTTGTATTGTATTGATATTTTGTGTAGTATCTTCAGTATGTGTGATACTAGAGACAAATATAGAGATCTTCCTGTAACATCACTGTACCACTATTGACTGAGAATTTAAATGTTGGATTGATCTTTTATATTTTAAATCATGTTGGTGCGTCACATTTGACATTTGACTTGTTATTGACCCAGATAGGACAATTAATATTGGAACTCGATGAAATTCGTCGCTGAAGAAAAAATTTAATCTAGAATTGTCACAGGAATCGTATTTAAAACAATACACTAAATTGTTAAATAAAAACGTTGCCAAAAAATGCGTAATGAAAATTAAATTTTCGGAGTAAAAATGATGTCAACAAGATTATAGCTGTAAAGATCTATTGATTAACGTAACACTGTTGTAAAACTAATAATTCAGAAAGCTAACAGATTAATTAATTTCCCAGTTAAAAAATGTCTGTAATTGTTCTATCAGTACAACAGTTAAATCTGTGTGTGAAATCTTCCTCAAGAAGAATCAGTCATCTCCGCAACTCTTCCCGTCGTGGAAGAATTTAAAGTGAGAAATAAACCGCTCCGTTACCGTTGCGCCTTCAAAATCACCTGACGATATTATGATATTAGGATAAATTGATAGTGTAAAATGTATTCTAAAATTTAATATACAATACAAAGTAAACTTTGTTAACCAAAAAACACTGCACAGATAAATATCTTTAAACTAAATGTTATTCACAAAACAAAATAACAGCTTGTAATATGAACAATGAACATGATTACAGGCTTATTACAGGCTTACCTAAAATTGTCCAGGCTTGTTTCAGTTCTGTCACCAACTCCACGGAGACCGTCCTGTTGAAGAACTTTTCTCCTCGTAGCAGGTCCCACTGGCTGAACGTTGTTCCGTTCCCCTGTTCACATTCACAGTCCTCTGTGCTGTTGTTTTCTTCCTCTCCATCTTCCTCCTTTGGTTCAGGGGTGCAGCCTACGTCAATCTCTGTTACATTTCCTGATTTCTCCTCAAGAAGCATGTCTTCCCATTTCAGATACCTACTTCGTCCGTATTTCTCTTCTACTTCGGAACAGAGACCACCGTCCGCCATTTCTTTCACTTCAGCAGCACTCAGTTCTTTATCAAACAGGTTCACCTTGAACAGTTCCCCACCAAATGGCTATTAAAGTTACTTCCGTATGAGTCAAACTCATTACCTAGCACAACATACCCGTCTAGACCGACCTTTCTACCAGAGGGGGTTGTGGCTGATCCTAGAAGTAACCCATCATAGTACATACTAGCTGCTCTAGTAGTGAGACTCCACGTAAGGCAGACATGTCTCCATGTTCCTAGCTGGTCAGTTACCTTGCTCCTCATATCTACATTAGTGCTCAACGTGTAGAAATTCCGTTATCTCTTAGGCGGATCTCCTCATTATAACCAGATGTTCCGTAAGCAAACCAGAACTTTAATTACCAGACAGTATCTTCTTCACCCATCCGCACAGCGAGTAGGATTCTTGCACCGGTTCCATTCTTGGCTTGAAGAGAACGTAGTCCTGGTTTGTTGCTCCGAACTTTAATCCCCTGTAGCGTCTTTCTACCAGTCTTTGTCCGGGCTCGTCGACAGATGACTCCGCAGCGAGGAGTAGTCCGAGTATAGTGAGAAGAGTAGAGAAGCACAACATGGTTAACAACTGTTCGAATGTGAGATCTCCTCCCGAATACTTGGATTTATAAACACACAATAATCACATTATCAGACGATAGTTATAGGTTTTTAGTTTTGAGTTTTGAGTTTTGGGAGTTATACGCACAAAAATCCCGTCTCCGATAAATTGTTATTTATTAGTGATAACTATAGCGGTAATCATGGTGTTTAGTTTGTTACGTGTTACTTCGGAGCCAAGATTATTTCTCTCTGATATGTGGACTATCCATGATATTCACAACTAACTGAATTTATTCTGCTCGCGACTAACATAATAGCAAACCGACAAAGTGTTTGCTGATCTTCCTTGAACGGAACTTTATAATAACGGCGCAGACCTCCTAATAACAATTAGAATTCAAAAGTCGAAACAGCCTCCCATTTTGGTTTTGACTCACTGAGTAACAGCAAAAAATAAATCCTCTCCATTTAAAGTCAGCCAACACAACGCGACCAAGATCTACTCCGTGAAAGGTACCTTGGATTTATAAATACAATATCACCTGATTGTTGTGTGACGATAGTTATCGAGGTTTTTCTTTCGAGCTGACGATAATCCAGTTGGCAGAGCTGTGGTCTACTCAGTGTTATGTTTGGTTATACCGAGCTTTATTATTACCTTATATAGACATAAAGTAAGCTGTATATATCCAGACAGCTCCTTCTCGTGACTCAACAGATTTTGTAATATCGCAGTTTATCATCACAATAATACAGTAAATCGGTATAAAATGTAGCTACGTTATTTTGCTAGAGAAAATACTTAGTTTTTATAGTAAATAGACTCCAACATACTGAAGTTCTAACAACATATTATATCCCACAATGTTAACAGCTTTACTGGGTTATTTAGTATGTAGTAGGTATTGGGGGGGGGGGGGGGGGGGGGGGGGGGGAGGGGGGTCTTTATCAAAAGTCCCTCTGATAGAGGTGAGTGAAATCTATCAGCTGCTTTTCGTCCCCCCCACCCCCGGCCTCCTTAATAGAAGTGGTTAATTACCTACAACGGTCGTTATTCTCACTTAAAACAAATTAGTAATTAACATTTGCGTTAAATGTACAGAGAAAATTCATGTTCTTATTCGATCCGGGCTTTTACTCGATTGCAAGTGTTCCTTTGAGTGCTGAGTTTCATCGCGGTCCAGATTTCGGAGTCGTTTACACGACTCCATACAAATATTATGGTACCATGTAGTTCTACTACTTTAGAGGTACCGTGTTTCCTTCAGATACTAGGTGACAGAGCTAACAAGACTTTTTGCGATATATGGCTTCAATGGTATATTTTCTTGTGTTTCACATTGCACATGATCTATTTGGCCACAAATTGTTCCTTCTGAGATGTAACTGAAATAAAACTTTGTTTTGCCTGTTCCTTAAGAATGGTCCATAACACTACAAAACAACTCCAGTTGTTGGCATCAATGAAACACGTTCATTTTGGTGTATTAACTGGTCCTTCAACCAACCTCTCAAATTGTCTTCTCATAATTGATCTGCCTTTATTGAGCAGTCCCAGGGCCCTGTTATTTGAGCACAATACGACTGGGTTAAGCAGCGAATTAACCCCCACAGAGAGGCCCAGAGTGGCTGGCCAACTGTACCAGTACATGAAACTACTCCCATACATCTGAGCATAGTCCAGTCCCTGCCAGGACCTAACATGGAAGTACATGTAGTTGAGCAGAACGGGCACGTTGCAGACCCAGTAGAGCAGGGTGAGGAGCAGGATGGTTTTAGTAGCCCTGCTGCTCCGGTGGTGTTGTCGCTTGGTGTGGAGCACCAGGAGGGAGGCGATACAGGAGACAGTGACAGGGAGGATGGGGAGGAGGAGTTGGACCTGGTTAGCTGTCATCTTGAGGTGCCAGTAAGGGTTAGTCTCGGTGATGTTCTCCTGACAGAGAGCAGAGTCTGGGAAGTAGTGGTAGTCCGTGTAGCCGGTAGCCAGTAACGGGACCACACTTCTCAGCACCAGGAACACCAGGTACCCTGCTACTGAACCCAGGATACACCGCCACCTCACTCCTCTCAGTGGTCTCAGTAGAGTGTAAGTCCGGGTCAGGGACAGGGTGGTTACCAGGTAGATGGAGAGGTAGGGCAGGACAGTCCAGGTAACACCCCATATCTCACAGAACAGCTGGTTACCAAACAGGATGGGAGCACGTGACATCAGCAGGGACATCATGATAGGGAACATGCTCAGACATATCAGGGTGTCTGTAAGTGAAATGCACAGGAAGAGGAGTCGAAACATACTTTCTTTTCGCTGCTTCCCAGGCTGATCCTAACTGGTATGTTCTTAAGGTACTGAGCAGCTACCGGAATGTTGCCCATAATCCCAAATACCAGGACGATAATGAGCAGGATTCCACAGAGGATGTCGAGGGTGCTGTTGGGAGTGTGGTCGATGGTCCGTGTTGTCACCATCTTCTCGAGTCCTACCTTGTGCTGCCCCTATTGTATTATCATTTACAGTTTTACTAACATGGTAAAATGATTTACAAGACACAACGTAATGTTAACAGAGACTTGGGAGAGGTGCTTGATTAATCAGAACTATAAATAAATCGTAGTCTTTAAAAGTCTCGTAGCATGATGAAATGAGAAGAAACGAAAATAATCTGCTAATGTGTGCTATATATATAATATTAGTATAGCGCTCATATAATATGAATAGCTACTGAGTGCCCAAGACTAACCATGTCAGAGCAGTTCTAAAGAGCAAAATTAATTAATTGGAGCATTTATTACATGCTTCGACATTAAAATATTCCCAACAAAGATGTACATTCAAGTCGTTCAAGCGGAAATATCAAGATAATGCATTGCTAAAATTTCAGTTTAGAATTTATGGACAAATGTTAGTATTTAAAAAAAATAAAGTGGTCAAAGGTATAACCTACTATAAAAGATGAAAGATCCTATATCAGTCTTAATATTTAGTACTTTAATAAAACCTGGCGGACAAAAAGGTCGTGATGTAAGCCTAGATTATCCCGTTAACTAACGAATTATAATCAAGTAACGCTAGGTGTCAATAACTACACTGTGGTTATAATAATCATGAAGTAGCACTGGCACGGTTGTCGCTAAGTATTGATAGTTCGTGAAAGTTACTAAAGTAATGAAATCTACATCTATCATTATATGGAGTCTACTCGTATACTTTACTATGGTATGAGGGGTCGTTCATATTAGGGACAAGAGAAACGCCATTATTGGACGTGAGGAGAGTGAGGACTCCTCAAACTACATTAAATTAATTCCTTCTGTATTTATTACGAAAGCCGTTTTTTGGTCATAGACCAAAAAACTGCTTTCGTCGTTCACATATTACGTAATCAGCCGAGGAGGGGGGGGGGTTCCAAATGCTTACGGTTGCAGGGGGGTAAAATTGCTAAAATATTGATTACGTAATGTGTGAACGACCCCTAAGCTAGTTTTCCCGTAGCCGTAGCCATCGCCTATAAATTAAACTAGCGTCAGCTTCCTCAAACCCCTCCTCAAACCCCTCCCTCCTACTTAAACTATCCCTTAAAATAGCACATCAAAAGTCGCTAAATAAAGTTCCTTTTAACCACAAAAAGCAATGTATGAGGGATCTGTTCAACAGGACGATAGTACAACCCTTAAAGACCCCATTTGTCGGCTGGTATTGAAATAATGTAATAGCTATAGCACAGTCGGGGTGCAAAACCATATACTGTGAAGGGATGGTGGATAGAAGCCCCTAAGAGAGCCCACGTTCAATTCTATGATTTGATTGAACTTCTGTCGTTTGCTGAACTGTTTTCAGCTAATTTCACTTCACAGCACAGCAAGATCGATATTAACGAAGTGTGTTCGAGTTGGTCTACGTCTTAGTCTTTAAGTTTGTACAAAGCTGATAATCCTCAATATGTACTCAAACAAGTCTGTTTGTAAAACGATTAATTTGACATAATATGCAACAGCTGCAACAATCTTACTAAAAAATGAGCTCCTCACTGAGCTGCAGAAAAGAGAATCAGTGCTCTTAATCATGGCAGATACTCGAACATCCCTGTGATCAAAGACAGTGTGTCTAATCCAAAACAAGTCTAGGACTCGAGATTGTGGAGGTGAATCACATGTACTCTGTGTACGTGATCAGCACTTATAACAGAGAGCGAAATTAATGAACTATCTCATTAAACCACCACCAATCACAAACTGAACTGAAACCACTGACACAATCAAGATCAATGAAGAGAATCTCAGTGATCACCATATTATTATATAAAAGCAATTTTGTCACATTTCTCATCAACCTCTATACAAGGATAATAATAATAATATATGCTACTATTATTGTATAATTTCACAAAATCAACTGAGCCTACGCCCTACATAATCACTGCTATCGCACACTGAGCATTGAACCGCACACCACGTCTATATCTTTGACACTGTATTTTAAACTAATTACAACACTAGTACAAATCTATTACATTTATTGAGGTACTGATAATGACTGAAAATATTCTGCCCATGTTGTAAAGATTTAATTGGAACTTTTTGAAACTCATTCGTTGTCTGATTGCGGGTAATACTGATTATTGTATTACCCTAAGAACCCATCGTTAACACCTTACTACCCTCAGGACCCCTCTTTAACACATTATTACCCTCAGGACCCCTCTTTAACACCTTAATACCCTCAGGACCCCTCTACTTACAGTACGAACTGAAGGAAGGACTCCTCTTTAACACCTTATTACCCTCACGGCCCCTCTTTAACACCTTATTACCCTCAGGACCCCTTTACTTACAGTACGAACTGAAGGAAGGACTGCTCTTTAACACCTTATTACCCTCAGGACCCCTCTACTTACAGTACGAACTGAAGGAAGGACTGCTCTTTAACACCTTATTACCCTCAGGACCCCTTTACTTACAGTACGAACTGAAGGAAGGACCCCTCTTTAACACCTTACTACCCTCAGGACCCCTCTTTAACACCTTATTACCCTCACGGCCCCTCTTTAACACCTTATTACCCTCAGGACCCCTTTACTTACAGTACGAACTGAAGGAAGGACTGCTCTTTAACACCTTATTACCCTCAGGACCCCTCTACTTACAGTACGAACTGAAGGAAGGACTGCTCTTTAACACCTTATTACCCTCAGGACCCCTTTACTTACAGTACGAACTGAAGGAAGGACTGCTCTTTAACACCTTATTACCCTCAGGACCCCTCTACTAACAGTACGAACTGAAGGAAGGACCCCTCTTTAACACCTTATTACCCTGGCCTCAGGACCCCTCTACTTACAGTACGAACTGAAGGAAGGACTGCTCTTTAACACCTTATTACCCTCAGGACCACTCCACTAACAGTACGAACTGAAGGAAGGACCCCTCTTTAACACCTTATTACCCTCAGGACCCCTCTTTAACACCTTATTACCCTCAGGACCCCTCTACTTACAGTACGAACTGAAGGAAGGACTGCTCTTTAACACCTTATTACCCTCAGGATCCCTCTTTAACACCTTATTACCTTCAGGACTCCTCTACTTACAGTACGAACTGAAGGAAGGACTGCTCTTTAACACCTTATTACCCTCAGGACCCCTCTTTAACACCTTATTACCCTCAGGACCCCTCTACTTATAGTACGAACTGAAGGAAGGACTGCTCTTTAACACCTTATTACCCTCAGGACCCCTCTTTAACACCTTATTACCCTCAGGACCCCTCTACTTACAGTACGAACTGAAGGAAGGACTGCTCTTTAACACCTTATTACCCCCAGGACCCCTCTACTAACAGTACGAACTGAAGGAAGGACTCCTCTTTAACACCTTATTACCCTCAGGACCCCTCTTTAACACCTTATTACCCTCAGGACCCCTCTACTTACAGTACGAACTGAAGGAAGGACTGCTCTTTAACACCTTATTACCCTCAGGACCCCTCTACTTACAGTACGAACTGAAGGAAGGACTCCTCTTTAACACCTTATTACCCTCAGGACCCCTCTTTAACACCTTATTACCCTCAGGACCCCTCTACTTACAGTATGAACTGAAGGAAGGACCCCTCTTTAACACCTTACTACCCTCAGGACCCCTCTACTTACAATACGAACTGAAGGAAGGACTGCTCTCTGACTACTCATCTTACTCTGATGTGGTTCTTATCAGGAACCTGATAGTCGCCCCCATCACTGAGGAAATCGGTGAGATAATAAAAATAATGGTAATCCTTGGCTTTTAGTTTTGATGGTCGAATCATATTTTCTTTTTATGAACATTCTATTGAAGAGCGCTAATCCCGATTAAACTCTCAACTCATTGAACTCACCCCGATTTCTATTGGTGTGGCTACTGGCTAGTCTTTATTTTTATTGATTGTGATCCTATCAAATTAATTAATTATTTTAATTAACTAACAGTTTTCAGGAGCTGCCTAGGCCCACTTCTCTTCAAGCCCCTGGGATGGACAGCTACTGTAATTGCTCAACCCCTCTTTTTCGGAGTCGCTCACTTGCACCATGGGGTAAGTTAAACTTGTACCACCCCACTGAGGTGTGAGGGGTTGCCATCTCACTGAGGAGTGAGGGGCTGCCATCCCACTGAGGAGTGAGGGGCTGCCATCCCACTGAGGAGTGAGGGGCTGCCATCCCACTGAGGAGTGAGTGGTTGGCATCCCACTGAGGAGTGAGGGGCTGCCATCCCACTGAGGAGTGAGTGGTTGCCATTCACTGAGGAGTGAGGGGCTGCCATCCCACTGAGGAGTGAGGGGTTGGCATCCCACTGAGGAGTGAGGGCTGCCATCCACTGAGGAGTGAGGGGCTGCCATCCCACTGAGGAGTGAGGGGTTGCCATCCCACTGAGGAGTGAGGGGTTGCCATCCCACTGAGGAGTGAGGGGTTGCCATCCCACTGAGGAGTGAGGGGTTGCCATCCCACTGAGGAGTGAGGGGTTGCTATCCCACTGAGGAGTGAGGGGTTGCCATCCCACTGAGGAGTGAGGGGTTGCCATCCCACTGAGGAGTGAGGGGCTGCCATCCCACTGAGGAGTGAAGGGCTGCCATCTGCATCCCACTGAGGAGTGAGGGGCTGCCATCCCACTGAGGAGTGAGGGGTTGCCATCCCACTGAGGAGTGAGGGGCTGCCATCCCACTGAGGAGTGAGGGGTTGCCATCCCACTGAGGAGTGAGGGGCTGCCATCCCACTGAGGAGTGAGGGGTTGCTATCCCACTGAGGAGTGATGGGTTGCCATCCCACTGAGGAGTGAGGGGTTGCCATCCCACTGAGGAGTGAAGGGCTGCCATCTGCATCCCACTGAGGAGTGAGGGGCACCCCTGAGGTGTGAGGGGTTGCCATCTCACTGAGGAGTGAGGGGCTGCCATCCCACTGAGGAGTGAGGGGCTGCCATCCCACTGAGGAGTGAGGGGCTGCCATCCCACTGAGGAGTGAGTGGTTGGCATCCCACTGAGGAGTGAGGGGCTGCCATCCCACTGAGGAGTGAGTGGTTGCCATTCCACTGAGGAGTGAGGGGCTGCCATCCCACTGAGGAGTGAGTGGTTGGCATCCCACTGAGGAGTGAGGGGCTGCCATCCCACTGAGGAGTGAGGGGCTGCCATCCCACTGAGGAGTGAGGGGTTGTCATCCCACTGAGGAGTGAGGGACTGTCATCACACTGAGGAGTGAGGGGTTGCCATCCCACTGAGGAGTGAGGGGTTGCCATCCCACTGAGGAGTGAGGGGCTGCCCTCCCACTGAGGAGTGAGGGGCTGCCATCCCACTGAGGAGTGAGGGGCTGCCATCCCACTGAGGAGTGAGGGGGTGCCATCCCACTGAGAGGTACCACCCCAATGAGGAGGTACCACACCACTGAGTTGCATATTAACATATTGTTAAAATAGTATTTCTTAGCTTTGATCTAATTCCCAGTATATTATAATATCTAGTGATGTTTTCAGTTTGAATTGTACAGACGCGGAACCCCCCTGCTGCAAGTTTTAGCTACAGTGCTGGTTCAAACGGCTTTTACCTCCGCATTCGGTGCTTTCTCAACCCTAACCTTCCTCACTACTGGCTCAGTAAGTGTCTTTGTATATTTGTAGGGATATTTGTAGGAATGTTTGTAGGAATGTTTGTAGGGATGTTTGTAGAAATGTTTGTGGAGATATTTGCGGGCATATTCGTTGAGATGTTTGTAGGGTGTTGGGAGGCCGGGTAGGTTCAATATTATTTATTTTAGGCAATGGTCACATTAAATACGGCTAATGTATTATATTCTATTCATTATGCCTTTATGCGAATAATATGTGACCCACAATGCTAATGTTACACTACGACAAAGAATAAAATAACCCATATTATATGTAGACGTCCGTTCCAGTGTGAATCACAACGGGGCATGATGGCATTTAATTCCTAAAAACTTCTAAAACTTTAAAACTTAAATAAAATATTAAGCATATAAAATATGTTTAATACCAATTTTGTTAAAAACCAAGATGGAATACTATTAAAAGAAAGTTATGCTGGATCCAGATACGTTACTTCCCCAGCAATTCGTGCGAAACAATTAGCTAATTAGCAAATTGTCAACCTTGATTATGCATTCCAGTACACAGCGGGATATACCTGCAGTGACGCCACGTCCGGATTCCAGTATTCAGGATCACAGAGGCACCATTACTACACAGTGCACAGTGCATTATAACAGAGGGGGTTTTTCAGTTTACGCCATCATCTTCCTATACCCCGATGCAGAAATAATGCGATACAAATGTTCTATCTCTTGGAATGCCGAAGGATTTCGAGAATTGAGGAGTGCATAATGAATAAAATTAAAATTTACACACAATCTGAAATTTACATTTCCGGGTTGTCTTGGATTGTGCGAAACCATTCTGATGTGCTTATAAATATACATTTATATACTATAATATACTAGTACAGATAAATATAATTTATACATAATTATGAGCATAATAATTATATACCTCACACTTTTGAATAATCGCATTCATTCTATTCGTCGTTAGCTTTAAACGCTATACTCTACACTCTTTCTAACACTCTTATGATACATTTGATAATTTACGCGTAGTCTCGATTTGCTGCCGGCATGTATATACGGTAAAATAAAATTTGCAAAATGGTTGTTTATTAGTTTTTGAGTGATGAGACGACTTAACTTTTGAGTTTGACACATATAACAGTAGCCAGTGAACTTTTCCATGTGATTTCTGAGTAATAATATATATATAATCTTATGGAAAAGCTCACTGCTCAATAATACATTTTCATGTAAATCTATTTGTTACAATATCATATTACACAATCACATACTCTTAATTCTTACACTCCGCTCTTCTGAATACCATACTCCCATTCCTTGTTTGACACTCAAACACTCAATTACTCTTTAACACTCTATTGTACACTCGCAATTAGTTCCGCGTGTAGTCTTGTTTTGCTGCCGTCATGTAATGATGTATAGATGACTGATATAATACACAGTAGTGTTACATTTCTTTGGCGTTCAGTTTTTGGATTTATTTCAATGCCGTGTTGGAAAGATGATTCTGGGGCAAAATTGGTAGTGTTCCCGTTTTGTAGTGTTCCCGTTTGTTGTGACAAAGAATAGGCTTTTATCAGGTAAAGGAAATGTTTTCCTTGTCGCAGCAAACGGGAACACTACAAATTCTACCCCAGAATCACTACAACAATGCAACTAACAAATAATGTTATGATCCAGATATTGCAGTTTTGGAAACGTTTACTTTATTTAATCCGTCCAATCCTTGCGATTGAAATCAAATTTGCTATATCTTTTGACACAAAACACTCAGCTAAACATGTCAAAGGAGATCCTAAGTTTGGATCAGTTCGAGAGCACAGTGATGGAATGTTGGAATGAAGATAGTGAGTTCAAGGCGGTCTACTATTTCAATAGTGCCCAGAACTCTCCTGGTGCCTTTAACCAAGTAGCAGAGGAGTTGAGCCCCACTATAGACGCCTCATTTTTCACAGTTGATGTGGATGAATTCCGCAATCCGGAGGACATTGGAGCGATGCGACTTAATTTAAAAAACATTTCGGGAATGCCTGTGATCAAGATATTTCAAAAACAAGGTTGTGTCGAAACACTCGAAGGCTCTTCCGCAGTGGAAAATCTTAAGAAGGGTTTTGCTCAGTGTATATAATTTCAATTCTTGCCAAAGTACATCGTTTAAACTTGAAGTACACACCAATCATTCCACATCTCGCTATATTATCAATTTTCGTTTTAGAAGTTACGCGCTATCGATCGTATGCATCATTCAATTGCTCTAACTTTAATTTTCAAAATGGGGGAGGGCATCATGTCCACTAACATTTATTTTTCTAAATTCCGGATTGGGAAGTTTGTTAGATACCATAATATATTTAATTATGAAATTCGAGATCTTTTGTATCGACCTTTTATTAGGAAGTGGTACAGTAAATTTAAAATCTTCCGAATCGAAACGAGCTGTCAGCGTCCCCCCTTTTCTGCTTTGTAAAAATGAGCCGCATTAAGTTGGAGTTGGGAAAAGAGCGAAATTACCCCCATTTTGCAGTATGATTATGTATGATTGATATTTTGATTGCAGTGAATGAGGCACTAACCAATTGAATTTGTACATTATTTCTTTTAAGCGGCCACTAATTAGAAGGTTCAATTTAATTGTTTTAAACATTTTAGGTAACGGTGTTGTCTGTCGGTTGACTCAGTAGACACACGATTGACGCACAGTGTGGTAACATAATATATATAAGGTTGCAGATATACCTCATATTTGAGATTTCCGATTGAAACGCCACTCTTGGCCGCGAAGAGGATTACGGTTCCTCGCATTATATTGAATACATTTCTTCTGTATCATTCTCAATGGGGATTGGGGAATTTATTTGTTGACAAAGACTCGATTATTTTTGAATGCAGAAGAAGATAACAATAAAATTGAAATTATTATCACAATATCGATTAACGAGTGTTTGTCTACTGTCGATATTCCCTGTTCATAATACTAAAACTTGAGAGAAGTGTGAGACTACATACATGCAACAAGCAACAGTACATTTATCTGCTGCCTCTTGCTAATAAGTAAGAACTGTCCCCCAAAGAATTGGTACTACAATATTGACTGTTTCTTTAACAAGTTTCAAATTTGGTGTCAGATACGTATGAGAACGATTGCGTGTGATCACCGAAAAAATCAAGGTTCAGATATGCACCTTTTTGTTGGTGATGTCCATTGATATATCGATGGTAAACCATGTCGATCCTTCCATCACCATTTAGATCAACAAATCTAACTGAAAGGTCACCATATCCATCTGCAGCAATGTGGAATGGTGGTATGTACTGTGGTGCCGATGTCCAGCCATTTCCATTGTTCAGATATGCACCTTTTTGTTGGTGATGTCCATTGATATATCGATGGTAAACCATGTCGATCTTTCCATCACCATTTAGATCAACAAATCTGGCTGAAAGGTCACCATATCCATCTGCAGCAATGTGGAATGGTGGTATGTACTGTGGTGCCCATGTCCAGCCATTTCCATTGTTCAGATATGCACCTTTTTGTTGGTGATGTCCATTGATATATCGATGATAAATCATGTCGATCTTTCCATCACCATTTAGATCAATAAATCTGGCTGAAAGGTCACCATATCCATCTGCAGCAATGTGGAATGGTGGTATGTACTGTGGTGCCGATGTCCAGCCATTTCCATTGCTCAGATATGCACCTTTTTGTTGATGATGTCCATTGATATATCGATGGTAAACCATGTCGATCTTTCCATCACCATTTAGATCAACAAATCTGGCGGAAAGGTCACCATACCCATCTGCAGCAATGTGGAATGGTGGTATGTACTGTGGTGCCCATGTCCAGCCATTTCCATTGTTCAGATATGCACCTTTTTGTTGGTGATGTCCATTGATATATCGATGGTAAACCATGTCGATCTTTCCATCGCCATTTAGATCAACAAATCTGGCTGAAAGGTCACCATATCCATCTGCAGCAATGTGGAATGGTGGTATGTACTGTGGTGCCCATGTCCAGCCATTTCCATTGTTCAGATATGCACCTTTTTGTTGGTGATGTCCATTGATATATCGATGGTAAACCATGTCGATCTTTCCATCACCATTTAGATCTACAAATCTGGCTGAAAGGTCACCATATCCATCTGCAGCAATGTGGAATGGTGGTATGTACTGTGGTGCCCATGTCCAGCCATTTCCATTGTTCAGATATGCACCTTTTTGTTGGTGATGTCCATTGATATATCGATGGTAAACCATGTCGATCTTTCCATCACCATTTAGATCTACAAATCTGGCTGAAAGGTCACCATATCCATCAGCAGCAATGTGGAATGGTGGTATGTACTGTGGTGCCCATGTCCAGCCATTCCCATTGTTCAGATATGCACCTTTTTGTTGGTGATGTCCATTGATAAATCGATGGTAAACCATGTCGATCTTTCCATCACCATTTAGATCAACAAATCTGGCTCCAAGATCGCCATATCCATCAGCAGCAATGTGGAATGGTGGCGTCATTTGCGAAACTTTTCTCCAGGATGCTGGGACTCCAGTTATTTCAGATATTTTGGTCCATTGCTGTTCCATCCTTGGTTTAGCTATATTATCGATAAAGTTAGCAACATTATTTCCCTCACCGTTAATGTTCATTGCAGTACTTATTGCTGCATAACCTGCTGATTCCAAAGCCATTATGTACTGCACAAAGTCTTCCATATCTTGGGTGAAAGATCCGGGATTGTTGATGCTAGGGAATACAAGCTGGTCTTTGTAAACGGAGATCAAAGATCTCCTTCCAAACAGTCGACCAGTTCCCATCACCAGATCATGCAGACTGAAGAGAACCTGCTCAAGACCATCAGGTCCATTGTCGAGGACAGCATCAGCCCATTCTTTAGCTTCATCTGTCGTCATTAGGACTAGATTTGCACCTGAAGTACAATACACCACATTCCAATGCATTTGGTGCAAAAGGAATCTAAGTCTTTGCACATCGTTTGTGTAGAGAACTGCTCCTTCGTTCCACTCCTGGCCAACCTGCAGCGACTTTACTCGCACACTCAGCTCATCCACGGACTCCTGAAGCTTATCCAGTTTCTGGTTTATTTCCTTGAGTTGTGCGAGTTGTTGTTGACCGTTGACTATCCCGTAGATGAAGGCACCTCCTCCAAAGATGGCACTGAACAGGGGAGAAACTTTGACAGCATTAGTAATGAGGTCAGCTATAGCTCTTTTTTGTACACTCTTTTTAGAAGCATCCGGCGATTCTTCGTCCCCTTCGTAACGCTGATCTGAAAGGTTTTTTTTTCTATTTCGTTTAAAGATGAATATTATTTGCCTTATACTGAACTGAAAGTTAACGCGAACGGTCTCTGAAAAAGCGAGATAAGCGTCATTTTATGCTAAATTTAACTATGAATAGTTATCATATGTCTATTTAAACTTAATTCCTTCTTATTAAAAAACGACGTACTTAGCGAAACTGAGCTAGTCGTCACACATGTCACCAAGAGGCACAGCAAAAGAATTGAGGACTTCAACATCATCTGTGAGTAAAATTATGAATGGTTTTTACTTATTGGTAGGTATAAAGTATGGCAATTTATATTATGGACAGTGCTTCAGCATACAAATGTTCGAAAAATACATTTGATACACTATCAATGGTTTCGCACAATTTATTCTTTGATCTTACAGAATACAAAGCTCGTCAATTTTGAGTTGCCCAAACCGACTGTTTGGTTTACTATAAATGCAGACAATAAGCAAAATGCTGCACAAAAAGTGTAAATTGTACATCCCACTGAACTTCAAAAGTTTGTAAAAAACAAGAAAGTAATGTTAATTTGCTGTTTAAAGAAAATGAAAAAAATTTAATCGACAGTTCGCATTTCAAAGTTTCAAAGTTTTCTGAAAATGAAAAATCTCCAGTTATGATGATTCTGTCGTAATGCTCAGCACCTGTTAATATACAGCTGTGGACACGTGACACAGGGTAATGAAGAGTTGGATTCCTTTATTAATAAACCTAATTAAGCTGATAAGCTGAGTTAGCGTTTTATCAGCTGATTCCTTGGCGGTTCAAGTTATATGTTTTAGATGTCAGTGTCCTATTAGATACAATTTTTCATCAAGGACATCAGATTTAATTAACTCCGGAAATTGTATCCACCAAATTTAAATTTTTCCAGTCAAACAACAAGCAACAGTTTGGCTGAGCCAATGTCTTATCGGCCTTCTAATTTTAAGTCCCGTCCAACAGATAACACGGAAACGATAAAGGTGTCTTTTCTACAAATGGTAGACAGTAGTATACAATATGGCCCCGCTGTATCACCTAAAAGTTAGGCACCATTTACCTAATTTCCTTATATGGTAGTGTCACATAATCAATAATAATTTGTCGGCCGGGTGGTGTAGCGGTAACACAATTGCCTCCCAAGCAGAAGATCCAGGTTCGAATCCGGTCGAGAGCTGGCTACCATCAATCTAACCAGATTCAACTAATTAACTCAGCCTAAAACAATAGATGCAGCAATATTCCTCTATGCAACAAGATATTATTACATAACTGCAAATGGTTATGACAGTTACAAGAGTGTACAGTAGGTGAAAACATAACTGTGCAATGTACACGTCATAATTGTTATTAGGAAAGGCACCAAATTCATTGGTAACATGATACACCATAATAACATTGCAATATATGTTTGTAAATATCACTGTAATTGAATCAATTTGGGCCCCTCTGTGGCGTACACCTGTAATTATCAGACAGTTAATCGGAACATCCAGTGTTCAAATCTGTGTCAAGCTACTCTTACAAAACTCAAAAAAAAGCAATCAAAATTTACTGTGATAAGGCTGATGTTGACGGCTCGGTTAGAGAGATCTTAGTCTATCTCCAGTGCCATGAGTCAGCTATATCGCAGTTCGGGGTTGACTCCCGTGAAAAACCGGAATTAGGAGAGCGTTCTCTCCATCCAAATGTATGTGGGAACTCCCACTAAATTGAGAAATGTAAGATGTAGTAGGCAGTGATCAATATAAAGATATAGGCGAATTCGAACCCGGCTTACAATCTAATAGCCTTGCACTGCAGTATGACCATTAATCTAACTGAGTAATGTAAGATGCATGTAGTTTGAACTAGTACCAAGTCAATTTGCAAATGTTAAGCACTGTCAGTAATTAAGCGAGCTTTTTTTTAATAATTTGTTTATAGGATAATTATTGTTCGTCAATTGCATACATTTTGTTATAGTACAAAATTCTGATTCAAGTACAAAATCCTGATTTACACTTGACACTTTCAGTAATAGTAGATTTTTCTAAAGTGGGCTATATAAGGGGAGTGAGACCTTCGTAAGCTCATTACTCAAACTGCACTTTTCGTTACGTTTGATTTTACATGCTCTCCCTGCGATTTTGATGTGATCAAGTACAAAATCCTGATTTACACTTGATCTTTTCAGTAATAGTTGATTTTTCTGAAGTCGGCTATATAAGGGGAGTGAGACCTTCATCAGCTCATTTCTCAAACTGCACTTTTCGTTACGTTTGATTTTACCTGCTCTCTTTGCTGTTTTTGAACTGGTCAAGGACAAAATCCTGATTTACACTTGATCTTTTTCAGTAATAGTTGATTTTTCTGCAATCGGCTATATAAGGGGAGTGAGACCTTCATCAGCTCATTTCTCAAACTGCACTTTTCGTTACGTTTGATTTTACCTGCTCTCTTTGCTGTTTTTGAACTGGTCAAGGACAAAATCCTGATTTACACTTGATCTTTTCAGTAATAGTTGATTTTTCTGCAATCGGCTATATAAGGGGAGTGAGACCTTCATCAGCTCATTTCTCAAACTGCATTTTTCGTTACGTTTGATTTTCTGTGCTCTCGACAGAAATGAAGAGAAGATTTTCAGCAAAAAGCCAACATGGCAAACATCAAGTTGAAGAGTGTCCGGTATGTTTCAAGAGGATGAGGGCTGATAATCTAAAACATCATCTTCCGACACACAACAGCAAAGAAACCTGCAACAGCTGTAAAAAGTTGTTTCGCTCGGACAAATTGGCAAGGCATGAGCTTCTGTGTCGCTTTCAGATCGATGAATCTTTATGCAATCGCTTCTCTGGGATTCATGAACATCTGGACAATGATGAGCACTGTAGTTCAGTTTCGGGGTACTTTAAGTCCTTTGATCTCAGCATTGCGAAAAGTTCAGATTATGATACAATTCTTTTGGAGTCATGCTCTGCAGCTAAGCAAAAGATTATCCAAATTTTACAGTCACATCCTGTTAAAGCACAGCTAGTCATTTCCCTATCATTCCACAAGCATGTCAATGGAGAAGAGGGTCAATCTGAAAAGGTTTTCAGGTCAATTTGTGAACCCTTACTACTAGGAGACAATGTTGATGACTTTCTGTCACGTGCTAAGAGCTATATTCGGCATGGAATTGACACCTACGAACGATTGGGAAGTGGTTGGATTTTTGACGAATTGCAATGGGCACATATCGAAATTGCAAAATACTCTCCACTTTCTGCTTCAGGCAACGTTTCCATTCCGGAGAAGCTAAGTAAAATGAGATCAGTTCTAAACATTAAGTCCTCAGACAATAAATGCTTCTTGTATTGCCTTTTGGCAAAGCTCTATCCTGCAACAGGCTCCAATATTGATAGACACACAAAGTATCTGTCTCACATCGGGAAGATAAATATGGGTACGGTTCAATTCCCAGTAAAGATCAAAGATATAGCAAAAGTTGAGGAGTTGAATAAGGTCTCAATTTCTGTTTTCCAGTGGTGTGTTGAGGAAGAATGTGTTTTGCCGTTAAAACATGGCAGTGAAATTGGCGAACCAGTTGACCTACTCTACTTGGAAAATGAAGGATTTGCTCATTATTTACTGATCAAAGATTTTAACGCATTCATGAGACATCGCACTAAGCATCATCACACGATGTTTTACTGCCGAAAATGTATGCATGGTTTTGTATCTTCACAGAACCATGAGACTCACTACCAAAACTGTAAACAAGGAATTAATCAGTTAGTCAAGATGCCGGATCCAGGATTTATTGAGTTTAAGGCATTACATAAGCAAGACAAAAAACTGTTTACAGTTTACTTTGATTTTGAATGTCTAACTGTACCTTACAGTACCTGCAGTAAAAAAGATACCTCGAGCTACACAGAAAAGTATCAAAAACATGTACCTTGCAGCTTTTGCATCGTTACTGTGTCAGAGTTTTCGGAATACAACTCGGAAGTGATCACTTTTAGCCATGAAAATCCAAATGTTGTGACTGAAGAATTCATATCACAGCTAGCTAACATACATGATAAAATGATGAAATGCTATGAAAAGAACCAACATTCAATAGATATGACGCCCGAGGATGAAGTGAAGTTTAAGAGTGCAACAATCTGTCACATTTGTAACAGAAAATTGAACTGGGAATCTGAAAAAAATTACCCAGTTCGAGATCATGACCACTTGCAGAAAAAGAATAACTTCAGAGGTGCAGCATGCAATTCCTGCAACATAAACTATTTCAACAGAACTAAAAAAGTTCCAGCATTTGCACATAACCTAAAAGGATATGATCTCAACCTCTTCCTACTAGATTTGACAAAACGAGTCGAGAGATTGGATGTAATCCCTGAGACACTTGAAAAGTTCAAAGCTGTTTTTACTGACAACTTTATTTTCTTGGACAGCTTTGCATTTCTTTCTACTTCCCTTGATAGATTGGCATCAAATATGAAAAAGTCAGGTGTCGAAAAGTTCAAGCAATTAAAAGAAGAGTTCCCAGAAAACTACGAACTTTTGTCAGAAAAAGGCGTATATTTCTTTGACTATGCTTCATCTTTCTCAGTTTTCTCGGAGAAGAACCTACCACCCAAGCAAGCGTTTTACAGTAAACTGAGGGAAGAAGACATCTCAGATGCTGACTACACTCGAGCTCAAGATGTCTACAAAACCATGAACTGTCAATCTTTGCTCGATTACATGGAGATTTATGTAAAAACAGATGCTCTCATATTATGTGATGTATTTGAGAGTTTTAGAAAACTTTGCTTGGACTACTATGGCCTAGACTGTTGTCACTATATGAGTTTGCCAGGATTTTCTTGGGATGCGATGCTGAAGATGACAAATGTGAATATCGAGTACATGACTGACATTGACATGTACACCTTCATTGAGAAGAATCTGCGAGGAGGAGTCACTACGGTTAACCATCGTCATTTCAAAGCCAACAACCCTTATTTGGACGACCATGACACAACAAAGCCTACATCATTCATCCATTATGTTGATGCAAATAACCTTTATGGAAAGTCAATGTCGTACAAGTTGCCATATAAGAATTTTAGATGGCTAGACAGGGATGAAATAGATCTACTTGACACTTCCAAGATAGACCCAGAAGGGGAAACATGCTATATTTTGGATATTGATCTGCACTATCCAGCGTTTCTTCATGACTACCACAATGATTACCCCCTCGCTGTGGAGAGCAAAATGACCGAA